TGCAAAATTGAATGCCACACTTTTCCAAGGACATCGCGTGTGAAAAATAATGCATTTTCGAATGTGGAACCGGCTCTTTTACTGATTACACTGGATCACAAATTCCAGCTTGATTTTTTTTGATTTTTGTTCTCCAGACGCCACTATCCCAGTTCTATATAGAATTGCTCGGTGATACCGAAAATCGAGTTATTTTTTTCCTATGGATACGTTTTCAAAAAAATATTTTCAATTTACTGTTATTCAGTTTAAAACAAAAAGTGGTTCCACTTAATCCCGTATATCTTACGAACCAATTTAACAATCCTTAAAGCAGATAACCCAAATCCAAGCTAATAAAATTCTTCATACATCATATATATGTACATCACTTTCCAATAAGTTTGATAGTTTCTGACAAACTAATTAATCATTCCAGTTTTTTTTTATTTTTTAATGAAAAAAATCAAACTTTAACAGAAGAAAAATTAAAAAAGTAACAGGTTCTGTGAAAAATTTTTGCATTAGTGCTAAAGCCTGTTCTGTTACAAAAAAAAAAAATCAAGTTACTGATGAAGAAAATCGATGGATAAATAAGAAATAATGAGTGGTAAAATGAAAATGCGCAAAGATTTTTCGTATGAAATATGAGCAGAAAAGCGTGTTACTCAGGTGTACGTGGCGTATGAGCAACTTTCTTTCCTGCTAATTTTTCTTGCAAAAACTCTTTGGGTATTTTCATTTGACCACTCATTAGTTGTTATTTATCCATCGATTTTTTTTCACTAGTAATTTGATTTTTTATAAAAGAACAGGCTTGAGCAATGCAATGCAAACATTTGGCACAGAACTTGTTATTTTTTTAATTTTTCTTCTCTTAAAGTTTGATTTTTTTTTAATTTCGTCATAAAAAAATAAAAAGAACTGGAATGATTAATTAATTTGTCAGAAACAACCACTGCTATTGGAAAGTGATGTTGATATGGTGTATGGAGAATTTGATTAGCTTTTTTCCATATTTTGTATTAAGATTGCTAAATTGGTTCGCAAGATATACGTGATTAAACGGAACCAATTTTTGCTTTCAGCTGAATAACGGCAAATTGAAAATATATCGAAAACGTATCCATGAAAAAAAAAAATTAACTCCATTTTCGGAATCACCGAGCAGTTCTACATAGGAATTGGATAGTGGCATCCATAGAACATTTTTGCTGTAAACCAATGTTATTTTTTCGTTTACTATACATTACATTTTCTCACTGGGTATGAATGTATATAATTAATTTTTTATATGTTTGTCATGTAGGGTTTAACATACATATGCCGTCGTCCATTCTCTGTCCACTGCGATTACTTTTACATGTTTTCCTTAAGGCATGCCTTGTCTCCGAAACCGGTTGCCGATCGTTCAGTTGGCTTAACTTTTTGGGCTTAAGTAATGCCTATAAACTATGTATGTATTGGTATATCATTTTGCATAAGTCATGGATGGCAGTTGGCAATATTTGGCTTGCTGCTGATTATGGTGCGTCTTGCTTATTTTTTCTTTTGTTTTCATACAATAGACATATTAATGAATGTATGTAAATACACTAGACTGCCCAACGATTCTATGTACTATTCTGTGGCAATGAAAATATGTTCCTTAACTGCTGTATGTCGGCCTCCAACAACTTCCGCCACATGCCACACTCCACACTGTATACCGTAAGCACTTATTTCTTTTTTTAAATGGCCTTAAATGATTTTAGAGTCATTAGCGTTGATAAGTAGGCAATTAATTAACAAGCACCCTAAAGACAGCCCATATAAACTCCGCACTGACATATTGACTTTCTTCTGCCTGAATCCTTGTGACCCTCCGCGCGAACATTGAACGTATCCAGTTTACCAGCACAGAATATCGAGCTGAATATTATATCGAATGTGGCATTACGAAAACCACCCTGAAAAGCCAAGTGTGAGTTTTTCTCGGCTCGGATTTTCTCTTTAAAAGAGTGTGTGCAGTTTGCTTGTTTTTAACAAGAAATGAAACCGAACCCGAAATCGTAACCGTTTAAAACCGTTTCGCTTTTCAAAACCGAAACCGCAACCGTTATCTGGACCTGAGAAGGAACGAAGCCGAAACCGGTTCTAGCACAGGTTTCAATCGGTTTCCAGAAATTTATAAAAATCAGCTGCAGGATCTAGCAACCAGAATTTCTTTTCTACGGTAGCATAACTGTGCGGTTTCACAAAAAATGACTTGCATGACAAATTTGTTGACAAGTATGTGGATACCAGAATCAGCAACATTTTGCTAAAATTCTTGTTAAGTAGTAATTTTGACAAAGTACCTTTTCGCTAAAAGATGCCACCCCGATCTGGCATCGGTTATTTGGAAGAAGTCATTTTGATATACATTTTCACATGTATAGTTGTAAAGCGCACAAAAATGAATGGGTGAATAAAGTTTCATAATTATTTAGTAAATAATTGAAGAAAAAAAAATATTTTAGTTTTCATACATCTTCAATTTGACAGCAAAAAGGAAGTATTTAAGCGAATCTGGTGATGACTTTTTTGTTAAACTTGTTTTCATTTTTTTATTCCAAAACCGAAACCGGAACGAAAGCGAAACCGAAACTAATTTTGAAGAACGAAACCAAAACCGAAGCTGGAACGTTATTTTGAATCGGTTTCATTCCTTGGTTTTTATCGACTTTCAACAGCCTAGCTGTGCCACTCAGTATCTTATGAACGGCCGCCACAGCCGAATGGTTAGAGGAGCACACTATTTACCACACTTAGGACCTAGGTTCGATCCTTGGTCTGTACAAAATATGAAATATATAAAGAGTTTTTTCAAAAAGTGTTCGGTAGGCGATGACAAACGTTTCATTGTGTTTCTGAAAAAGCTTCTCTTCAAATCGATTTGCCAATCGGAGGTGGCGTGAAATTGTAGGTCCCTGCCCTTTGTGTGACACCACAAACTGGAAGAGAAGTTCGGACAGAAAATACTTAGCAAAAGTGTTAGACCCAAAATATTATTATTATTACTATTAATCTTGTGTTAATATCTGCTGTTTTGTGTTTATATATGAATATATATATGTATACCGATTGCATTGCCGGCGAAATCAAATTAGTGAAAACGTATTTGTAATCAAAGTTTATACCAGTGCCTTTAACTGCTAGTAATAAATAAATATCAAATGAGCATAATACGTGCATATTAAGCTTTTAAAGTAAAAAGTGCGTAGCGATACAAGACGCCAATTGACTTTCCAAGATCTCTTGATTAGGAGATCTTGATTAAATCAAATTTCATCACACCAATCAATTCAACGCCTTTTATTGCACCGGCATATCATATCAGTTCACTAACATTTATATGTGCATACATATGTAAGTAAATATGTTCATGCAACACAAAGATACATATACCCTGCAAAAACTTGTGCGACTAATCCCTAAAGCTTGGTATTCACCTCTTAAGAAAACGGTCAATAAATAAAAATTGTCATTGCTTCGTGTGTGTGAGCAAGGAATTTTGATATCTGATATTTCACAGCCTTTTGCATCACTCTTTCCTCACGAAATAATGCAACGAACATATATTTCTGTTGCAAGCATGAGTTTCCTTGCGCTCTTTTTCACAAAAAAAAAAAAAAACGTTGGAAAACCGTAGTAGAAAGCGGAAAGTAAGGA